TAGATAATGTCTTCTTCCAAAACTTTCTAAAACCATGTTCAATCAATCCTTAGATTATTTTTTATCTTAGAATTTTTTACAACATAATATTATATTAGAACTATATATAAATATATCTACAACAAGATATAAAATTTTATAAAAATTAACAATATTTATAAGAGTTTGTAAAATTATTTTGGCTTGCATAGCACAAAGAAATAGATTTTATATTCTTACTACGAACTTATTCTATTAAAAAAACCATTATATCTTTCAAAATATTTTTTTATAGTATTATTTGCAAAGACGTAATCAATGGCATAGACTTCTTTTGTTTATTCCAACATATTCCAAACTAGATTTAAGTAATTAAGTTTAATATTTTAATTGATTAACTTTTTAAGATAGAATTTAATGGCTAGTAGACAATATTGAGTTCTATCATCAATAGAATATACAGGAATAGCAACGTTTCTTGTCATCAAGAATAATCATAATTTATACATAATAATAACTAAGAAGAGTGATCTAAGCTAAAGTACCATTAATATTATCAACAACTCTTAGCAAGATCTAGTTAATATTTGATATTTTAGTTTGTCAAAAAGTTTTTAGAATAAATTATAAAATACTTGGATAAAAATAATTTTTTATTATTATTATATTAATTTTTTATTTATAGAAACTATTCAAAAAATAAAAAAGTTAAATATCATATATTTTATTATCTTATTTTATTGCTTAAATTTAATATGATCTAATTCTTGAGGTATATTTACATTGTGCTTGAAAGTTAAGAAAGAGCCAAAATAGATTGATGCCAAATGCATAGCATTGTTTCATTGGATGTTGCAAATTTTTATATGTTTTCTATAATAATTTTCTTTTGAGTATTTTTGATGTTAATGCACTTGCCATAACTAAAAGCCATATATTGGAATATAAAAAACTAAATAATCAATCCATAGTCATAATAATAAATTAGAGTTAAAGTCATACCTTTTCAACAAGTTGTGATCTCTCTAGTTCTATCTCTCTTACTAAAATGATCTTTGTGAACTTTATTAAACTAAATAAAAATTACAACTAAACTTTAGCTTTACATATACATGTAATTCTAATATAGTATTAGAGTATAATTTTGAGCACTTCCTAAAAAATATTCTAGAAAAGTAATAACAAATTTATAAGAAGAAGAGGTTGTATTATTGATATTCTACATAAAAATTAGAATACCAATATACCTCTCCCTTCATAAGTATGGCTACAAATAGTATCACCACTAAAGAATAGCCAATTTTGATGGCTCTTAGTACAACATTTAAAGACAAAAGATTCAAATAAAATTTAAAATAGAAAAGATGCAATAGTTAATTTTTGGCATAGAAAAAAAAATCAATACATATTCCAAAATTAATTGTAGCCATACAAATACTATCAACAAACTATGCTTTGATCTTTTTTTGGAAAAAAAATGATCCTATTATTGTTGTTTTAACTATTTAGGATTGTATAGACAATTCAATCTTTTTTATATTGGAGCATATAAAACATCAAATTGAACATGGGTGGTTCTAAAAAAATACATATTAAGCAAGTAACATTGTTACTTAAGCACACTTATAAAAAAAATTGACTATACTAAACAAAAGAGCAAAAAAATCTATTATATAATACGTATACAATTTCAAGACCTTATTCCACGAATATCACTTTTTAATAGTAATTATTCTACCATAAATAAAAATATTCATACTTATGAAGTCTATACTATTATAATATGGCACACTAATTTAAACCCTATGCACAACATAAGTTACAGTACTTACAAAGTTAATTGCAATCTTCTTTCAAAAAGAGAAAGCTATGAAAGACTTATCTTTAGAATTCTAAGTATTCTTTGTAGGACACAAAGATAAGGGCAAGTAGCAATCAAGGTCTACTTCCAAACAATCCATAAAAGACTATAAGAATTCCAAAAGTAATTTTAAACCAACCACCTTATGTCCTTATTACAAAAAAAATAAAATAGAGCATTTGAGATTTAATTGCATTAAAAGAATAAATCTATTTTTTTTACAAATACAATAGCAACCACTTATGATTATTGAAAGTCGAAATCAACATAGAAGTTAAATTTTTTTTTGAAAATACCTCCAATATTTATACCTACACATATCTCTCAAAAAGCCTTTTACTCCAAAATATCAATTCAACTAAAGATGAATAATGGTTCATTAATATCAAAGCTACATATAATTTGATCCACAAAAAATATAAATTTATTAATTTCAAACCATTTTTATTTAGTGAAAATAAAATATATCTTTGTAATAATACCACTCTATTTATTTGTGGCTAAGACAAAGTAAAGATCTCAATGGTCAATGGCCACATAATTTGCCTCTCTAACATCTTGTATGTCCTTGATCTACAAAAAAAAAATATTTTTTAATTAATGATTATTATCAAAAAATAAGAGAATTTTTAATTAAAAACCAAATTAATTCTTTCTTGTATAAGACAATGCCACTATTGCATCTTATCTTTTTTAAGATAATTTCTACTTACTCAATACAACTTTATTCCAACTTAGATTTGTTGAGTCTAATATTGTCTCTATTTAAATTGAGAACATTTTTATATTGATTCTACAAAAAAAAATCTTTTATTGTCAACCACCATATAAGATCTCTTCATCCAACCAAACTAGTACAATTCATACTCTTGACTATTCCAATTTCAATACAAACTTTCAACCTTCTAATATTATTTGTGACTACCACAATACTAGTCGCTACATCAATGCAAGTACCTCTTTCACTTCAACAACATCATTATTATATCATGGCTATTACAAAAAGAGTAACAAAGGTCATAGTAGTATTACATGCGGTTGATAATATGTGGCTTCTAACTTTGGAACCTCTTCATGTGCCCAACATTTTAACATCCCTGCTTTGATTTATTCTTAGTATACAAAGTCACTTTAGATGATCTCAAGCTCGCCAAAAGCCAAGATTAAATGATAACAACTACATCATTTTTCCATTTCAACTCCACTATATGCTACTCTTCCATCATAATATCTACTTCTCCTTCAATCTCCACCCAATACAATTGTATTGGATTTCCAACCAAAAAAATGAAGACACCCAATTATTGCAAGTTTTTCTAAATTGCTCCTTACTTTCAATGTTGTCAACAATTTTGAGAAGAATTCTCAACTCTAATATCAACAATTAGACTATATAAGTACAAATTGATTCAAATAACTTATTCAAAGCACCATAGTCACATGATTATTCTTTAAAAAGAATTGTTCAATATATATTCTATATATCTTTGGAAAAAAAAAAAAAAAAACAACAACAAAGTTTTTAAAAATAATCACATCTTAAGCTATATATCTCCTTGAATTAGTTCACTTTGATCTTAGTAGATGGATTGTAACACCAATATTATTTAGTTTTAAATACTATATTATCTTCATTGTAGACTTCTCTTGTTACATGATATTTTGTTTTCTTTGAAAAAAAAAACAAGTACTTCTATGTATTCAAGGTCTTCCATCTTTAAGATAAAAATCACTCTAAATACAAAATCTAGTGTGATCAATGAGAAGAGTATATTTTTTGATCTTGACCAATATTTGACTATTAATAGAATTCAAAACCAACTTATGACTATATATATACTATACCAAAATGATATTGTCCAAAAAAAATAGTATCATTTTTAAAACCATCTAATGTATGCTTCACAAAAAAAAATTATTTAAAGCATATTGGAACAAGTCCATTACTTAAGCTACTTACTTCTAAAATCAATGTCTCACTAAAGCCTTTCTTTGAGATACCACATCATTTGAACTATGGCACAATCAAAAAATTGATATAATTCTCCATATATATATTCAGTAATACAAATTGAATTGGCAAAATTCATGAGTGCCACTCAATGTTCAGCTATTATATACTTTTGTCTTATGGTGCCATTACTTGGAGTTCCATCTACCAAGAGTTCATCACTATCTCTAGTACCAAGGCCAAGTATATGGCCATAGCTATGCTTGTCTTCAAACTAGTCTAACTATGTCACTTACTCTATGACCTCTAATAAATCAAAATCCTAAAATATCTAATCCTAATACAATATAATAACTAGTTTGTACTTCTATTAGTTATAATAACAAAATTTTATTCTTGTATTAAACATATTACAATTTTTTTCACTTCATAAGAAAACTTGCCACTCTCAACAAAATTTAGTTTTAATATTGTGCCAATATCTTCACTAAATCTTAGTTTGAGCCAAAGCTTGCTTAGTATCTTCTATTGCTCAACTTGCATATTGGAACTCAAAAAACAAATAACCAATAACTGATTGTAATAACAAATCAAGCTTAGAGTCAAACCTTGTCAACCCCTTTGTTGCACCTCTCTCGACAATAAACTTTATAAACCTTACTCAACTTCACATACACATGTAATTCAAATATCATGGTATCTTTGCTTTGTGACACAACTCATATATTTCTTGACTTGGACAAAACTAATATAAATTAGTTTACAGTGCAAACCATGTTATATGACTCAATTCAAAGGGCCCAATCGAGAATGTTCTCTGCTGCAGCAAGTTAATGTTCTCAGCTTACAGTGGTTTATGTGTTGGAACACATTTGAAAATAACCCATCTAGTACACTACTAGTACTATCATTCTTGTTCTGAACAAGAATGATTAATAAAACGTCAAGGTCAACACATACCACCTTATTGAGCTACAATAGAAGTAGCAATCAAAAGAACAGAGATCCTACAATGTGAGTTCTTGCGGCGGTTGAAACGATTTCTACATCTTCAGCAGAGTGATACACAAGTTTTTCATAGGTTTTCTATGGATGGTACTTTATTCCAGCTTCCTTAGAACTTTCTACTTTCCCCAAGTTCAAGGTTTGCAGCTATTTTTGCATATTCTTCAAACTTTTAAAATCTGGTGAATTTTGCAGCTTCCCAGGTCTCTTTGACAAAAGAATTTAAAGTGACTGTTAAGCCAGAGGAGTTTCCAAGCAGGTATTCAAGAATAATTTAGACTTTCTTTGCATTAAAGCTCCCCCTGTGTCTAACATCACCAGAGAATTTCTTCCCGAATCGCACCAACTTTTTAACAAAGTGTGCTGCATGAATTTGTTCAAATGAACAGGACAATGGGACTATATCCTTTACAACTATGCTCCGTCGAATCATGAGCGAGAGCAAGAAATTGAGAGTGGAAACATAGTCCAAGTTATTCACCCGGACGAGACTCAGAAATCGATTGATGCAGATCTGGTCGTTCTCAACGTAGCTCTAGGCTCATTAACTGCGGCATGGATCAGATTTGCAATTTGTTTAGGAGTGGGTGATCAAATTTTCATATCGATGCTAGGATGACATTCAGTTGTCACAAGGATGAATACTCGCTAGTGCTTATTATCTAAGAGTTTGAAGATTACTTATCATGCGCATCCACAGATACAGATTTTTCAGTTCTAAAAGTTAAAGTGGTAAAATTGGTCACCACATTCGTTGAATTTCGTGATCATACTTTAAGCTTCTCAGTGTTTGGATGAGAAATTTTAAATATAATTAGTTATAAATCTCAATGTCATGTTGCGGGTATACTCATGAAAATAGATTGTTGCTAAAATCCTCTCTATTCCCATTTAAAGAATATCATTAAACGAAGTACATGCTTTACTTCTTCAAAAAATCACGTACTTTCGTTCAACGTACGTTCTATACACATTCCTTTTCAGCACACTGGATTCAAAGTACACAATCAATCAAGACATGACTGTCTTGTTCACTGTCTATACGTTGATGCCAATAATTAATATTTTGAAGATTCGTTAAATTTGGGTCAATTGCGGGATAAACATTTTTAGAGAAAGAATATCTCTTTGAAGTCTTTAGAATTTTATATCAATGCTTTACATTCTAAATGCGTCGTCTCAATGCGTCAATGGGCCATTCTCCGATAAGCAACTGCTCTGATCACTTTCAATGCTCAGCTTTTAACCTATTTCTCAGTTACCTATGCAAATCATTATTGGGAAATGAGTTCAAAGAAGATTATGTTCTTTGATGCGAAGTGTTGAATTGTTCTCTTTAGGGTGCTGCTATGAAACATCAGACACGAGGAAAACTGGGTGCAGGTCCCTTGTTCTGGACTACGAGATTCCCGCATTCTAGATGTAGTTGAGGGTCTACACCAACCGATCACTACATCAAGTCGATCACCGAGTCGTATAATCTAAATCGCTCAAAAGGATCATTGTGAAGATCAACTCAGATTCTACACGAGCTGCTGGACTGTGAAGGTAGCCATGACGACAAGATCACAATGTCACAGAACAGATTTAATAGCTTCACTTCCATCGAGAAATGGTGTCAAGCCATTGCAGACGGTACACATGAGAGCAGCCAGTGTCTCGGTCGCGCGATACCTCGAGGGCATCTTGGAGAAAGTCCACACCGAGGTGAAGGAAGGTCCTATAACGGAGTCCAGAACGCCGAAGGTCACGTCGGCTTTACAGCCTCACAACAAAACGAAGGGGACTGCTGGAATACTTAACCCCGATCACGAATATTTGCAGTCACCTGTGCTTTCGAAGTCTAATCTCAGGATAGCACCCACTCATTTCTAATCAGAAGGCTCTGGTAGTTTGTTGGTCATGACAAGTCCTAAGACTCACCCTCTTGTTTAGAACAACATACCAATGCATCGATCTGACGCGTACCTTATTCATGCTGCGCGAAGACATTGAGAGCGGCCGTGCTGCTACAGACACATGAAACCTGAAGCTCAAATTCTCACCCCGAGGGAACGACATCCTATCGACACCGGAGGCGGTAGAGAGACACGAAGCCGCAGGGCAAGCGGCCGGCGGAGACATGAGAGCAACAGAGAGAGGACGACGACCGCCTCACACTCGAATCTGAAACCAACTCACTGTATACTAGCTGAGCGACGGAAGCAAGCCTATCGCCACACTCGATATTCGGTTCCAATGAGCGGAAAATCATTCGACGGTCAAAATGAAGATCACAGTTGTATCAGAAGAAAAATAAAGCTAGTGAGTGAATACCATGAACCTAACCCAGGAGCGATTCATCGACCTATTGCCACTAACATTCCAGCAACGAAAACACCGGAAACACGACCGTGATATGCGAAGTGATACGAACCCGACGCCCACGCCGTCCCCCAGACTGGTACTAGGTAAAAACTCTCCATCCATCCATGGATACCGGGCAGCTATAAATAATTTCATTTTCTGTGCTCGTCGGTGCCCATGATCGCAGGGCAGCGGCCAGGCTGGAAAAACATCCCAGTCTGGAAGGAAGTTCAGCTGCCGTGACTACGCGAAACAGTGGACACAAGTAGCGAGCAATAGATAAGCTTTATTTGTCGCAGAGCTGCGTGCGCTGCGTCAGGGTGTGTCCGAATGGGACGCTTTGGGGAGGATCTGACACAGCATCTCCAGCTGTTGGATGCGACTCATGGATCGCATGCGAGAGTCCTTCACCGCTCATTATGCGCAGACAGGGCCCGAAGGCGGTGTTTGACTTCCGACCGTAGATGTATAATACCCTCGTTCCGAATACCAGGGAGTGGGGGCATTGACAACTTCACGGATCCGCGATCTGGGGTCCCATCACGAAAAGGGACCTATTTCCGGCTTTTCCTGGATTTGCGTTCACGATATTCACGCAGTCGTCGCCATAATCTTCGTTGTCGGTCATCTTCGTCGTCATGATCTTCGTTGTCGCCGTCATTGTCGTCGTTTTAATCTTCTTCGCCGTTGTCATTATCGTCGTTGTTGTTCTCATCTTCGTTGTTGTCGTCATCGTCATCATAATGTTCGTCGTCGTCGTAGTCTTCGTTGTCGTGGTCACCTTCGTCGTAATAATCTTCGTCGTCTTCGTCGTCATCGCTGTCGTCTGTTTAACTTCCTGTGAAAAGAAGCAACAGTATACTAAAGTCTGAACGGAAATGGTGAAAGTATTCAATGTTTAGTTGGAGATATTTTTTCGGAAAACGTTGGCATCGAAATCAAAGGTATGTATGCTATTTTTGTTGTTATTATTATTAATATTATGATTTTATAGGACGTATTTCTGTGTGCTGTTTGTGGCTTTCGTGGTGTAATGTGAAGAGTTGATATCAAACTTCTGCATTTTGTGTCAATATGTGTTCTGATATTTGTGTTCAACGCAAAGAAATTGCAATTAAGTGTATTTTTTTACAGTTTTGTTTGTTTTGGTTGTTTGTGTGTATGTGTGTACATATATGTATTTTTCACTTCTTAACTGTTTATTTAATTCTTCATTTATTACTGTAAGATGTTTACTTTAAAAGAAACTGTTTGAATGAAACGACTTGCTAGTTTGAATTCTGAAAAACATAATACTTGTTCTACCTGCTTTCAACATTGAAATACTGGATTGGGTCGTAAGAGTGGTGATTATATTTCTAACATTGCAATAATTCTTGGTCATTGTAGCTAATAGATATCTAATAATTTTTTTTAAAGTTTAATTTTCTTGTATATATAAAAATAATAAATTACATGATATTATTTTTAATGTAATAATAAAATTATTAATGTATTATAAATTACGTAATAATAAATTACATGCTATTGTAAATGTATTATGTATAAAAATAATAAATTACATGCTTTTAAATGACTTAAAGATTCTTTTAAGAAAAAAAAATGTTTTAAAAATTAATTATTTTCTATGGCTTTTAAGATTAATAATAGAGCTTTTATTCTAAAAATAATTCAAATTAAGAATATAGATAAAGTAAGAATATTATTTGAAAAATCTAATCTAAGATATTTGACTTAAATAACTTTGTAAAGCTCAATCACAAGTTGAATTTGGTTAATAAAACTATAAAATCTAGTTTAGTAAAATCTTTTAAGAAGAATAACTATCAATTTGAAATCATATGTGACCATATTTTATGTTGATTGGTAGTAAGAAGAATTTCTTGAGATATTACAATTGCTGAAGAAACTCTTGCCATCTTTGTATCTTTATAATTAGTACACATAGTTATCAGTTGTGGTCATAAATAAAAATAGTATATTACAAGCATTAATATATTTTATTTTTTTCTAATCCATTATTATATATGTATATATATTTTAGAGAGATTGTAATTAAAATATATTAATTATTTTATAATTTTTTTTAATAAAAATTAAAGAGGAATTTAATAGTAGTTATAATATAAAAATATCAAAATCTAAGTTGATTACATAAGATTTAATTTTAAAAATTACTAATATTTTTTAAAAATATCAGTTTATTATTATTATATTTTTAAAATGTGATAAATTATCTATAATATAAATATATCATTTCGAAAATAAATATAATAAATAATATCTAAAATATACATATACAAAAAAAATATGTATTAAAAAATCATCTATAAAGTCATTAAAATTTACTCCTAATATATTATCAATTCTATAATTACTATTTTTTATCTTCTTTTAAATTTCTTTTTTTGTCAATCTAAATAAAGCTCTCTATTAACATCTCAACCTCTTTTGTTCTTTCAAAAATATGTCCAAAATGTTTTATATTTACAAGTAAGTTTTTATAATTTTTTTGCTTAACTCAACAAAATAATTACATAGTTTATGCTAATGATTATAAGATTAAGTAATAAGAAATTATTTTATAAATTAATATAAATTAATATCATATTTTTAATTTTGAATTTTTATAATTATTGGACTACCATTAGTAGTACATATCATGAATATACATATTTATCGAAATAAAAAGTATTAGGTAGAAGATAAATATAGGTAGATTTAATATTATCTTATTGCAAAGCTTCTTTGAAGCTTTATAGATATGTATTTGACTTTATACATGTTTGTAGTTGATTGGTAGATTAAAAATTTGGCCAATAAGTTAGTCACATGTCACACATGTTGATAGCTTATGGTACAAGCTATCCATGTAGCACACATATAGGAAACTTGCCTTGCAAGTTAAGACACATGTCTTGCAAAACAAACATGTGTCAAAGATCCTATAGAACATTGCTACATAGCTCTTAGTTAGATAGTATATATGGAGGTAAGAGTGGAGCCTTCTTCACTCTATACCTTTTTAGTCTTTAGTCTTATTTCAAGACTTTTTAGACTTCTTGTCTTTGGCAATAGCCATTTTAGTTTAATATTATAGTAACTTTGAGTAATTTTTTAGTCTTTTCAAGTGACACAAGAATTTATTGGTCTTTTAGTCTTTTAAAATTTATATTCTTGATAGTACGTAAAATAATTATAAATATAATAAGTATAATTTGACTTTTATTTTCTACATTATCAAAGTCTTAAATACTTTGTTATTTGTTATTTTTTAATTTAATAATATATTTTATTTTATTTTTTAAAAAGTTCTACATATTTTTATATTTATTTTAAGCTTAAAGTATTCTATTATATTATATGAGTTTGAATAGATGTGACAAATATTTTGAACATTTTTGTCAAAATATGAAGTATTATATATTTGCTTCACATTATTAAATATGGTCTTTTCTATTGTAGTTTTGCTTATTCCATTCATGCCAACAAAACATATTGCATTTATTTTTTTTCTATGCATAATTGTCTTATTTAGAATAAATATTTCTTCCTATCAAATAATATTTTATTACATATATCAATCCACATATTAAAATCATATAGAAATTTTACCACTAGCAATTGTCTTACATCTTTTCTCTGGATAAGTATTGAGATAAATAAGTTTTTTAGATGCATCAAAGAATAATGCTTTAGCTTCAATTTTTCTACCAAATGCTTCTCCTTTCATAAAATCAATTTTTCACAAATATATGCAAAGTTTGTATGTTGTGAAGAATTTAAATTTTAATATTTTTAGATGTTCTTAGTTAATTTATTGTATTTAGTAGGTAGATTTTTATCTTTTTTTATTGGAATATTTTTTAATACATATTTTCTATATAAAATTCATTTAAATAAAAAAAATTATAAAAAATTTATAAAATATATATTAAAATAAATAAATAAATACTTTTAAAAGACACATCTTTATTAATCTAAAGCTATTCTTGAATACTTCAAAAGCCATATATTATATATTTTAAACCACATGTTCTTTTTTAAAAAATGAAAAATATAATTAATAAAATTAAAATATTTTAATTTCTTTTATTCTCATATATAGCTTAAGCTTTTATATACTAATTCTATTTCTATAAATATATCTTTAATTGAATTGATATTATTTATTAATTACTTATTTTTCTAATTATAATATTTTATAATATTCATATAATTGATAAAATTGAAATAGTTTAGATTAGCTACAATATTTATTTTTTTACGAAAAATAATCAAAAGCAATGTGTATTATTTTAGTTATATTAAAAAACTCATATTAGATAAATTTGTGTTTATTAAGAGAGATTTTTACTTATTTTTTACATAATTTTTATATATTTAATATATTTTTTATAATTCTAAAATTTCTAATGTCTACTTTCTATAAATATACAAATGTATTATTATTTTTAATAAATATCTTGTTAACCAAAAGTTCTAGAAATATTCATCAGAGGTTACAACTTTAAAAATAATAAATGTGATATCTCTAAATTTCTTAGGATAATGCTTTAATAGCATATCTTTTGTGGAATTGCAATCTTTCTTTAAAATGCAAAGCAATTCTATAAAAATTTCATCACTTTTTAAATAATAAACATTTTATTGATATCAATTTTTTTCTTCAAAGTTTTTTATCAATGAAGATATTTAATTTATTATTAGAAATAATTTATAAAATACAAGTCTATATTCTTAATTATTACTATTGTAAGTTATTAAGTATTAGAATACCTTCATTAAAAATACAATCTAATCTAAAACCTTGACCTTTCAAATTTACATTAATATACGTCACAAATCACTTGATTCAGTATAAAGAAGAAAATAAGACTAACACAACATAATGAACTGTGTCATGTGATATGCTGTAGAGATTATAAAACTTTTTGCCCTTATGGAGCTTTGTTTTGTACATTATCTTCTAAGTCTCTTGGTCCCACTTGACAATATCCTCATTTAATAAAAAAGGTATCTTGGTTCTATTTAAGTTTAATTAAATTTAAGTTTAATTCAAGTTTAATTAAATTTAGTTAAATTTAAGTTTGATATATATATATATATATATATATATATATATCGAGGAACACTATCAAAAGGAACAACACTCAATTGGAGCCAAATATCCAATCAAAAATCCTTTTTAAAAATCAATTAGA